TTCGATTCATCCTGAATATACACTGGTGGGTAGGGGTCTCAAACTCGGACCTCAGAACTCAATGCGACGTTACTCGTCCCTCAACGCACATATAACACCGCCGACTGCAATGACTGAGCTATGTTCTCCGCAGACCCGATGACACTTTTACGAGTATTGTCTTGTCTCCGACACCATGTCCTGGCTGGCGCCATCGATAAGGGGGAGCAAGTAAAAACCTGGCTGGACACTGTATTCGAAGACGTCGACCAACTTGGTCTTCGGATGATGTACGGCACTCGCCGATGGAAAACAAACTAGATTAACATTTGCAAGGATATTGCAGCCAACCGCCAAGCATGGATAGTGGCCATCAGAGACATTCATGGAGCCGGCTTATCCTTTCCAAGGAGTCAGCCGTAGTGAAGTAAAGTAAAGTAGCAGCTAAGACTTGTCGAACGTCCTACTTATGGTGGTTTGCGTTCCTATGTAATTGTTTCTCATTGTCCTTTCTAGTGTACATACGGATCCACCTTAAACGCACTGTCTTCCGTCCTCCACTTCGTTATCACCTAGTCCCTCGGTTACTTTGCGAACTCTGTTCGTTTTATGTTCCTTGATTATTCTGCTGTGTTTCACTTGATCCCTCTGTCATTTCTTCTCCACAATTTACTTTCTTTTAGCTTCCAATACCCTTTCTTTTTTTGTTAGACGATTTCACTGGAATATACCAATGTACCAAATTGAGTAAGACACTGTCTTGTTCTCTAGCAAATAATTCTGATTTAAAACCCCTCATTTGAACACTATTTACAGTAGTGATTTACTTGTTCCTCCGCCCTCTAAACTCATAAAATATGCAGTTGAAGGTTTCTGCGCCACTTGGACTTTTTCCTTTCATCAGGTCTTAAACTTAAATTGTTCATTGACAGACAATCTTAAATATCCTCATCTGTTTATGAGTGTTTTCCTCATCTTTTTTTATTGTTTCCCGACCATCTTCTCTCGCTTACTTAAAAAAATTGTCCTGCTTTCTGTAGCAATTCAGCCATCACTTGCCGCTTTTCGCTCCATCTCACAGATTGCCTTATCGGTAAATTGTGCTATCTTCATATTGATTATTGTGTGAGCTATTGACAACTCTTATTCTTTTCTTTCCGATACATTTCTCTGTCACCTTCATCCTCCGATTAGATCCAGTTTTCGGCTCATTCTTGTACGCACATAATTTCCGATATTTGTCTCATGTCCTCACTAAGCTGCGCATGAAACTAGGGGTTGAATGGTGTTTTATCGTCTGTTTCATTTATATTTTGTTTTTGTATTCCTATGCATCAGTGTTTTCAATGAAAAACAAACACATTGCTTGCAGTTGATTCCGATACTATCTTTGGCGATCAGTTCACCTCGAATGTCGCCTTGGTAAACGGAATCGCTAATCTTCTTTGTGTCAATGTATTTCTCTTACTGTACAGTATTTCCGTAGTTTTTCCTAATCTGTTAAGAAATTATTTTGAAATTTTTATACATTCATCTGGCAATCATTAATCGTGGTTTGAGAAAGATTTCTACTGGTAGCTGTATTGTGAAGTGAGTTGTACCGTCAAGAATAATCTTTGGAGTTCCAAACCCACCGTGTACATTGTCGTTTCGACCCCATGACGCATCACAACTTCCAATGTATTGCATCCGATATGGACGACGCGTGACTCAGATCGCCAGCAACATGTGAAGTTGAAATGTAAGCAGAAACACACCAGAAATCAGACTGATAAATTCGTTTTTTGCGACACAGAGACGATAGATTGTGTAAATTGCGAGTAGACTGGAACAACTTAACAGTGCAGCAACGGGGTACCTTTTTCCCCCGCTGGCTAATGGGCATGTTTAGTCGCGTATTCATTTAGTCCTTACATATTGAATGATTCACTTCTGTATTACCTTGATGTGGTTCGGTTCGTGGCCAAATGTATTTCCACTAGTTTACTTCAGCACTGAATTTCCTAATGACCCGTTTGACACTGAGTGATATGGCTGGGTGTCGCAAACAGTGGCGCTCGTGCATCCNTTTCCTAACACATTCTATATGTATTCCCCATCTTCCGCTTGAATTTGCTTCGACATTCCAATCTTCATTTCGCTATTTTATCCAAATGGGCAAGCAAAACCGGCGCACGAAAGTGCATGGTTAATGCTTGTAAAGCTGAAACTGAAACTGAAACTGAATGACCCGTTCAGTCAACAGTTCTGTGCTCCTGAACTTGCAAATCCATGCATAACACGCCACTCATCCTTTCATTATCAAGTCTCTCCATTTCCATCTTCCCTCTGATCTGTTTGTGTGTGTGTGACTCGCNNNTACTGTCCTAATATCGGTACATCTTTTGAGTTGAATGTAGACTGAAGCACCGAGTGAGATTACTAACTGGTATCTGTTTTGTTATCCTGTTTTCATAGCTTTTCACATATTGTTTAAAATCATCAGACCACAGCAAGTAAACCAGCATTGAATGTGTGCATGATGAAAAGATTGTTTCGATAATAAGCTGTCTGAATGAACGGACTGAAGCGAAATGCCACCATAATACAAAACACTTAAGACACCACGTAATCTTGAGAAGAAAAGTTTATGTACAAGCTTTCCCGTTCAAACTGTTAGCAAGATCGCACCTAGTCTTACTCAGCAACAAAAGCTGAATTTTAGCATCTTATTAACCAACACAAATGCCCCATGACTTTTTACGCTGACTTCCACTGGACAACTGTCAATTGCTACTTAGTCTATTGGNGTGCGTAGCCTCAGTCAGTATGGCTCTGTGATTATACCACTATACCACTATGGTCTAAATTAGAATCGTTGGCAGTTCCGAAGCAATTTGTATCGGCTTTTGCACTGTCTTACCATGCAGTCTTTCTCAGGTTTGTTTTTGGTAACTATACCTTATTGCTTTCACTTCAGTTTGGACCAGATTGTGATCGGTTTCAATGGTGGTAAAGATTGCACTGCTCTTCTACACTTGGTTTACGCGGTTCTTCAGAAACGATGTCCTTCACGGGTTTCGAATAACGTGGACCAAGAGTCAACGAATCGAGATCAACAGACAACTGTTTCACTCCCGCGGTTATTGTATATCCGTTCACGCTCGGTGTTCCCCGAATTGGAACAATTCATAAGGAAGACATTGCAGTTCTATCGGATCTCGTCATCGACCACGTTTGAATCGGTTCAGTCTGATAGTGCGTCAGCGACCGGTTCATCGAATTTCGACCACTCCGCCGGTTTAATTGTTTTCGAAGGCCCAATTAAATCATCTCTGGTTCGGTTAAACAAGGCATTTCCTCATATTCGTGCAGTATTCATGGGTACCAGGATTACGGATCCACGTGCCGGTAAGTTGCATTTTATTCATCTTTGCTTCCTCGTTTCTACTTCATCATTATTGCTGTGAATCTACAGGTAAGGATACATATTTGACGAACCTTTGTTCGACATGTTTGCAGTTGGTAACTACCCAATACGTTGTTTCAAATATTACCGAGTTTATGGCGGTTTTCAGTCCGCATCGATTCGAAAACAAACAAAATCTAGGACTACATAGAAGTCTGGCCACGTGCTTCAAAAACTAAACAGCCGTTCCGTCCCACTTCACATTCGATCTCATTTGTGTGGGTGAGATTGGGAACAGATGATGAACCACAGTTCGTACGACGCTGTCCTGTTAACAGGTATGCACATATTGAGATCAATAACTGGCCCATGCTGTTCCCGTAGTAGCGGTCTTACTATGTATATGTGATCACTGCACGGAGTATAACTGGAACCTTTCCAGTCTTCAATTGAAAATTGAAAGTCTCACAGCTGTAAAGCACAACTTGCACACTATTCGCGACCTCTCAACTTCAGTGAAACGCCACATCAGTATTTCAGTCCTAAGTAAGCTGCTCTAGCTTTAGAAATGAATGCGGTTATCTTTTCTGCTCACATACAGCACATGCATTTACCCATATAAACACGTGTGCGTCCTGACACTTTTATATGACCAAGTGGTAAATTCGCTCTTTTACACGTTTCCCTTTTGATTGGCATTGCCCATCTCGGGTTTATCCCTTGAGAAATGCCACAATTTGAGTGCTTTACTATTTTATTCGCGATTGTTTCTAAGTCGAATGAACCGCGCGAACATTCTGACTTGGTTTCTAGATAACCCTAAGGGGGGAGGCAAAAGTTCAAAACAAAATATCCTAATAATTTGCGCTTGGACAAATTGTGTGTAGCGTCCTCTTGTCTGTCAGTTAGCAGTTCGTACTGATAGAAAACCCCAGTACGACTCACCTCCATTGGTCCACTGCAAATGGTTGCATATACTCTTGTTATTCAGGTATGTTTGAGTTCTCACAAGAAATTTTATCATATCGTTTCGTAATCATTCGTTATCGTCAGTGGCTCCGTTCTGTTTCCACTGCTCATTTCCTCAGACCATCTCACCCCAATGGTTATGACTGACCCCGACTGGCCGCAGTTGATGCGTGTGAACCCACTGTTACATTGGACCTACTCTGACGTGTGGAAGTTCTTACGATCATTATCTCTGCCATATTGCAATTTGTACGACGTCGGGTAAGTCCAGTGACCAGTTCAGATCACTGATGGACATGACGGCCTTGCTGCTTCAGCAGCGCAGAATGTTATGACTCCATGCATATGCGTCTTACTAGGCTCCTTCGTTATCTCAAGTGTGCGCGTCTAACAATTCAGTGGTTACGTTGCACACATTTTTATGAGATAGTGACAAAAAATTCATGCTGAGCGGTAGATTGAATCCCTAAATGTGATGCTTTTTGTTGATCAGAATTCTCAACGTGTACAATTTTTTTCATTTCTTGTATGGTACAACTAAGCTTGTCTGCAAGTCAACACCATCAAAGGTAACATCCGATCAAGTACCCTCAAATCTCATAGTTGTTATATTCTCAGCCTATTTTCTTGTTCTATTCCGTGTTAATTCATTGACAGTATCTTTATTGTTTTTCATGTCTGGGATGTATTCCCTGAGTTACACTCAGATCGGTTCTGTCGCTGTCAGATTCGGTTTGATTTGTGTTTTCTGTGCCTAACGTTCACTGCCCAACCCCCCTACACCCTAGTGCCGTATGCTTGAATAAATGATAATCATTTTAACTCGGAAAACTCTATTGAGATAACCTAGTTTGGACAGTTTGGGATGCTTGCAGTGCATCATGATCACCGCAGTTTGTTTGGCTCTTCTACTCATTTCAGATACACATCCCTAGGCAGTATGGAGGACACACATCCGAATCCAAGCTTGCGTTACGTGACCGAGTCCGGTCTGACCGAATATCGACCCGCCTACTTGCTGTCAGACTTTCACTTAGAACGATCTGGACGAAGAAAGCCAGAGGCGAAGCCGACCATCTCAGAATCTGAGTCAAAGACGAAACGGTCTTGAGTGTGTGTTTCTCCTGTCTCATACAAACACAGCGATTGTGATGAAATTCCAATTACCGGATGAATCAAAGCAATTACCCGGGCTTTCGATTGTCGTAATTATTCTGGCTTAGCCACCCATTGTGTCAGTGAAATTAGTTATTTTCTACATCACGCCTCTTGCCATTCTTCTATTTTTTGATCTGTGTCCCACACAAGTAACATTTCAAAGTCGAATTTCATTATGGACAAGTTACCAATCAGAAGTTCGTTATGTTCCTCAAAATCTCAACGTAGTGGGTTCTCACAATACTGCTAATAGAGTTCATCGTATTCAGATTCAACCACAGGTGCTCAGAAATTGGTTATATCAGTGCTTCATCTTGCCTTGACATGGGCGAATCGATGTTGGGAAGACGAAGAACACCAGAAATCTAGCCTACTTATACGGAGGATCCGCTTTAAGGCATGTCCCCCTAGATCTACACTTATAGATGGTTTCATTAAACTACGACTCGGACGATTAGTTCCGTTTCAGTTTATACAACAATTATCTACACCTCCTAGTGGCGGTTTTGGTTGCTACCTTTTGGCTACCCATTTGTATGACGAGTTGGAGGAAAAAATTATGATACTGAAAGCAGTGTCAAAGTGAAGATAGACGATTCAGATAAAATAAGGTAACGTGGAAATTGAATAGATACAACAGTGCCTTTGTTTAGGACGCTCACTTTCTCGAACTATCGATTGCAATGGTCCCGAGGTCCCCGTTCAGGCAACCTAATGATGCCTATATGAGCGAGTTCAGTAGTCAGTGCTTCTATACCGTTATTTCCGGACTCAGCTTGACCGCCCTTGAATTTTTTCATTCTCTGCCTACCTCTGCAAACATCACACGTCGAGGAAGCCCATCAGGTGACATGATTGGCACGTCCCAGCCGACTTAATTCATTTATCTAGGACAATCATTTGCTTCGGTGCACGACCGAGATCGCCGGCACCTAACGCAGCATCGCTTGTCCTCTTTCCCCAACAGGCTCGTTCAAAACAGCATAGAAAGCGGTGTTCGAACATTGTTTTTATCCCGTTATCGTTACCGCGAAGCTTTTGCATCACATATCAACACCGGTCGAACTGCTGCAACAAACAGTTCGCCCATAACAGACAACCCCATGTCATGACGGTGACATAGATATCTCAGATTTACCAACTATGATCGAGCGTTCGTAATGTGTGCCGATAGCTTCATCCGAGACTTGATCACCGGGTGAGATGGGGCTACCTAGGTGGTGAATGCTGTTTACTTTTTCAGTTGCTTCCCCGATTCGAGCGAGATATGGATCCATCCAGCCACCATTGTACGGCGTAACGAACTTTATTGATCGCTGCCAAACTCACAATGCATGCTAGGTTAGTGATAATTTATAAGATGAATAGGCATTGAACCTATACAGCTGTTTCGTCCTGTTTGGGACTCATCAACAGTGCGTGCTTTTTGCGTCCCTGTCAGGACTCGAACCGTGAACTTTCGGGTTTGGACCTCAAACCTTTACCCCTGAGCTACGGTCCACGGTCATCGCCTTGTGCGAATGGCTTATTCAATTTTTAGAGTAGCAAGTTTGAATAAGCCCATTCGATCGTTAAGAGGCACCAGGATGAAACAGCTGTCCAGTGCTATTTTTCGGTTGTCAGAAGCATTTCTATCGCATATAAGTGCATGAACTTGTTGGGAATTAACGATCTGCCAAGGAGTGAAACCCACATCGAAGACCATCAAGATTGCCTGGTGCCTCTTAACAATCGAATGGGCTAATCCAAGCTTGCTACTCTAAAAGGATATTGAACCTAATTTGAGAGAGAGGGAAGGTTGACCTCCATGGTCAACACAGAGTACACAGTCTTAATTGTGCATACATACCTTTTCGAACGTTCTCTCCTTATATGAAATGGCAACAAGAACCCCACTGTCTTTAATTCCCCAACTAACCAGTTTCATAGTCTTCCGAACAGCAACCTGGGAGGCACGAGAGACCTACCCTTACGAATTGCTCTGTACATTTCTTCATGCTTCTCGAACGGGTTTCCTCCAACCCGGAACGGCTACAAAGCGCGATGCTGCCGACGACAGCTGGGCACGCGCAATACGTGCTCTAGCCGGGGAAGCCCACTAATCTGAATTCGATGTGCTAGCAGGTTTCTCCTTGATGGACTTGCAATTACACGACGGCTTACCTCCAGATTAGGAAAAGGTTCGCTTCATCCCACGTGGGCTAAACTGCGTAATCACGGATAATCGAAGACCTCTGGTCGACGGATATCTTCTACTAGCAAATTCAAGGTATCATGACCATAAAGCAAACGAACGAACGCTAGCACAATATACACGACCTTTCAGCTTTAGTGAGACGTCGCGTCTACGCCAAAGGTGTTTTAGTCCTGCGTATGTTGCTCGAGCCTTGGAAATGCGGGCGGTTATCTCCTTTGCTGCACGATCGTCATTGGTTACGCAACTACTTAAGAAGGAAAAGCAATCCACCATAACTAAATCCTGACCATTTAGTTTCAGAGTGGGAGTAGACGAAACCCAGTCCTGCAGCATCACTTTGCACTTTGAAGGTGCAAAGCACATACCGAATGTGGCCACTGCACTTGTTAATTTATCAAGTGCACTTTGCGCTTCCTCCATACATTTGAACAGACGCTAAATCGCATGGGTTTTCTTCAGCTGCCCATTCCATATCTACGTTTCGGAGACCACTTAGTGTATTCTTCAGTACTCCGTCTACGAAAGCGACAACAATATTTTCATTCTGAGAAGTAGATGCATACCATCCGAAGAAGCTTTATATGAAAGAGTTTGCATTCAACAATACCATGAGATCTTTGGTTTCAAATCAGAAGGCCTGGGAGCGCCTTGATGCTAAAACCTTCACGTGGGAACAAAGCTGTTTCCAGAACCGTCTCTGGCAAGGAATAAGATAAAAGAAAAGAGAGGGTGCCCCTTAAGAACATCACTTCCCGCGGTGTACTTAGATAAACGAGAACCGGAGGCTCGAACTTGGCTTTGGCCATGAATAGAACGAGATTGCAATTCCTAGATGAACGGCTTCGCTAACAGTAAAGGAGAAGAAGCGCTAATCTACAGTGCGGTCGACGAAGTCGGAAGCCGCTTTCCAATGATGAAAAGTGTCATTCTGCGTTAGGAACGTCCCTGACTCAAAATGTTGGAAACAATGAAAATGTGGTGTAATACACCCTCACCCAGGCCTAAAACGAACCTAGTTTTCACGCGAGGATAGTTCACTTGCAGCAGCTGATCAATGGAGCATAATACTAACGAGAAGCTTTGAGGCAGTGTTAATCAGATTACTTTTTATAACAGGATCTATTGCAATTTTTGTAAGTCGAAGGGAATAAATTCGCCTCGTTCCTCTGAGACTTGTTCACTTTCCTATATTGAATCCAGGAGATTCATCAATGTTGCTATTCACCACTTCTCACGGTCGTTTCTTATGCTCTTGAATAACTGTCGTCTGATGGATTTGCGCATAGAGCCATTCGAACGTCCGGTAAAGCAGCAGAGGTGGAGAATCTACTTCATACAACTGCTTCACAACCAGATGCAAATAATAAAAGGTGTCACCCGAAAGTACAATACCAATTCAGGTCTGCAACGGAATATTTATCGCATGTGTTGCTCACAGTAAGCAACGAAGATATTTTTTTCGAAATTCGAGCTTTTTGAAACCTAACGTCTAACTTCATATTTTTTTAATCTGTGCTATATTGCACGAAATTATATAACCCGCGTCGTGTTTTCCCGCAATGTTCGGCAACTTAACCACCCAGGTCGATCACGAGTGAATTGATGGAGTTGGACAGAATTTCGGGATCGAATACATAGGCCCAATTTGCATTAAGCCAGCGTTTTTGTACCAGTGTAAAAGCGGAAGGTATATGTACCACAAAGACTGTCCTTACTGAGATGATATCCGTCAATTGATTTTAGGTGAGCAGTGTCGCCGACGCGATCTACTGACCGTTGAACAACCTACTTTGTCTGAAAAACTCTCACTTCGATCCATCAGCTGTGCCCGTGTTTCATTGGCACATGAAAACTAAGCGGTCAGTAATGATTTCGCATTACTCTTGCTTTACGCACCAATGAGTGTGAAAATGGGCAAAATGTCAGACAATCAGGACAAAGTCATCATCGTCGGTGAACCAGCATTCGAACGAATCTGTCCGCTTTATGTTCACATGAACGTGTGCGAACGATCGATTTATGGCGAGGGGGGAAGTGCGAATCAGCCGTGAAAATGGGACAAATATCCCAGTTTCTTTTGTGCCAACAGACTTATGTCGCTACTGTGGATAATTTGAATCGGATGCATGTTGGGTAGAAAAACAAATGCCTTCAGAAAAAATCAAGTTTCTGGAAATCTCATCCATGAAAACCGACTAGAACATCCGTGGAATTATTTTTGATCTGTTTCATAAATCAACCGGTAAATGTTCAGTTCGTTGAACATCACATATATCTGTGCTGATCGACGTTCGATGGCAGTATCATTCCATGAATCGAGAAATTACGATGTCTGAGATCGACACACGTGGAGCTGGGCATTTTCAGTTCTGAAATATGAGTGAGTCGCAAAACATGAAGGTAAACGGCTTTTCATGCTTGCGACGGTATTTTGCTCTCTATTGTATGCAGGGCTTACCAAAACTCGTACAACACATTGCTCAGGTCTTGTCATAACTGTGCACAACTAACCGTACTTTTTCTCACTGCTGATCCACCGTTTGGTGTAACATTTATGTTTATTCACCTTGTTTGTTCCCCAAAAAGCTGTAGCTAGAGTTTTTAGTGAAACTCACACAGTATTTCGCGAGGGAATAAATATCAATATTTTGTGTTATCTCTAGTTTCGGACACATCCAGAGGTGGCTTCAACCTTGAGTCGACAATATCATCGATATATTCATCATACCTGTGGCCATTTTTTCTTGATTACGGCA